AAAAATCACTTTAAAAGGAAAGTGAAAATAACAGCCAATAAAAACAAGAATTAAATTAAATTAAATTAAATTTAAATTGATTTAAATTTAAATTAAATTTTAAATTAAATTAAAGTATATTAAAATTAAATTATTTAAGTGAATTTAAATTAATATTAAATAATTTAAATTAAATTAAATTAAATTTAAAATTGAATGAAATTTAAAATTAAATTTCTATTTCAATTTAAAATTAAATTAAATTTTAAATTTATTTAAATGTCTGATTTTAAAAATTAGAAATTGAAATCTAAAGCAAAAATAAATTCAATCATGTAATGAAAGAAATGTTAATAAATGTTTTAATAAATATTTAAATAAATTATTTAAATAATTTTTAATAAAGTTTTATATAAATTATTTTAATGAATATTTAAACAAATATTTAAATAAATTATCTTAATATTTTTTAATATTTGAAATTTGAAGTTTAATTTAAGTTTTTAATATTTAATATTTTAAGTTTGAAATGAAATATTTTTATAAATATTTTAACAAATATTCAAATAAATTAATTTAATAATTTTTTAATAATTTTAAAATAAAATATTTTAATGAAGTATTTTAAAATAAAATATAAAAAAAAAACCCAAAAAAGAAAAAAAAATTAAAAACAATAAAAATAAAATAAAATAAATAAATAAAATCCACGAGACCCTTCCAAGGAAAAATTCCCTTTTTCCCAGGCGGAATTCCGGGATTTGGGATAGAAAGGCCCCAGAGGAGCCCCTCGACCCCATTTTTCCCCTCCATTTCTCCTCCGACATTCCCAGGAAAAACAGGAAGAACTCCAGGCCTCCCATTCCCGAACAAATCCCGACCGTGCCGGGTTTGGTGTTGGGATGTTGGGAATTCTGGGAAATGCCGGGATCTTGGGAAGTGTCGGGGTCAGGCACAGGGATGGGGGATTGGGATGGGGAGGAGGGATGGGATTGGGATTGGGATTGGGATTGGGATTGGGATTGGGATTGGGATTTGGATTGGGACTGGGATGGGATGGAATGGGGTTGGAGTTGGGATTGGGATTGGGAATGCAGGATTGGGATGGGATTGGGATAGAGCAGGAATGAGATGGGTTGGGATTGGGGTTGGGATTGGGATTGGGATTGGGATTGGGATTGGGATTGGGATTGGGATTGGGATTGGGGTTGGGATTGGGGTTGGGTTGGGATGGGGTTGGATTTGGGTTGGATTGGGGTTGGGATGAGGGACAGGCACGCACCAGCTGACGCTGAAGGTCAGGCAGCCGATGTTGGAGATGACATCGTTGAGGCGGTGGTAGACCCCACCACGGTGCTTGAAGTACACGTTGAGCTTGGTGAACTCCAGCTGAACGTCACTGACGTCGTGTAGGAACAGCACCAGGATACCCACGTTGTGGTACCTGCGGGGAAAAACGGGGGAAAACAGGAAAAACGGGAAAAAATGGGAGGGAGAATGGGAAAAATGGGGGGGAAAAAGGGGATGGGGGAAAGGGTTGTGGAAAAGGGTGGAGAAAAAAAGGGTGAGGGGGATTCCCATTGGATCCCTGTGAGATCCCCAAAGGATTCGTGTTGGATCCCTGTGAGATCCCTGTTGGATCCCCATTGGGTCCCCGCTGGATTTCCATTGGATCCCCGTTGTTTCCTGGTTGGATCCTGTTAGATCCCGTTGGATCCCCATTGGATCCCCGTTAGATCCTGTTGGGTCCTGTTGTATCCCCATTGTATCCCCGTTGTACCCCTGTTGTATCCCAGTTGTATCCCTGTTGTATCCCCGCTGGATTCCCGTTGGATCCCCGTTAGATCCCCCTGGATCCCGCTGGATCCCGCTGGGCTCAGGACGCACCTGAAGGCATAGGAGGAGGCGATGAGCAGCAGGGTGACGACGTGGTGCAGCAGCATCACCAGCGAGTCCTTGCGCCAGGTGTCCATGTAGGCGGTGGCGTAGAGCGAGTGGCCGTAGAAGCTGCTCTGCAGCAGGTACGCCAGCGCGATGTCCCCGGGCACCGCCATGCCCCGGTGCCACCCTGCGGGGACAGAACAGAGGCCACCCGAGAGGGGACAGGGTCACAGCGCCAGCGCCATGCCCCGGGGACACCCTGTGGGGACAGAACGGGAGCCAAACGAGAGGGGACAGGGTCACAGAGCCACCCGAGAGGGGACAGGGTCACAGAGCCACCACCATGCCCCGGTGCCACCCTGCGGGGACAGAACAGAGGCCACCCAAGAGGGGACAGGGTCACAGAGCCAGCGCCATGCCCCGGGGACACCCTGTGGGGACAGAACAGGAGCCAACCCAGGGGGGACAGGGTCACAGAGCCACCCAAGAGGGGACAGGGTCACAGAGCCACCGCGATGTCCCCAGGAACCGCCATGCCCCGGTGCCACCCTGCGGGGACACCCGGGGGCTCCCGTTAAACAGCACCAGAGCAGAGGGGACGGGGTCACAGCGGGGCTTAGAGACATTCGTTTGGTTCTTTTCATTTATCTGTGTGTTTATATATTTATGTGTTTGTTTATGTATTGCTATTTTTATTTTTATTATATTTGTGTGTTTATTTCTATATTTCTACTTTTATTTTACTATATTTATATATTTATTTCTATATTTCTACTTTTATTTTATTATATTTATGTATTTATTTCTATATTTCTATTTTTATTTTTATTACATTTATGTGTTTATTTCTATATTTCTATTTTTATTTTTATTACATTCATATGTTTATTTCTGTGTTTATATTTATATATTTATAATAGATATAATATGTATTGTGTATATATTATATGACATTATACATTATATATAATATATTATATATTATATGTATTCTAATTATAATATAATTAGAATATATGAATATATAATATATATAATATATAATATACAATATATAATATATAATATATGGTATATAGTATATAGTATATAGTATATCATATATTATATATAATATATACCATATATTATATATAATATATTATATAATATATATTACATATTGTATACAATATATATAATAGATAATATCTATATTATATATATTATATATAATATATAATATATACAATATATTATATACCAAATAGCTAATATCCAATATAATCTATATTTAATATCTAATATATATAATATCTAATATATCATACACCATATTTAATATTTAATATTTAGTATTTAATATATAATATATAATATATAATATATAATATATAATATATAATATATAATATATAATATATATCATCTAATATCTAAAATACAATATATTATATATACTATACCTAATAGATATATAAATACATCTAATATAAATATCTCATAATTATAACAAAACATTTAATACACAACAACGATAATAATTCTACAAATAGATATATACCATAAAATCACATATAAAAATGATCTAAAATTATAATATAAAATATCTATTTTTTATTCTATAGAATGAATTTTTCCCCTGCAGTTTTCCTCACCGTAGAAGACGGAGGGGGGGTCGTGGAAGAAGGGATAATCGGTGCAGAAGAGCAGGTAAGCGCCGTAGGACCAGGACAAGGAGTAGAAAATCAACTTCCAGGCACTCTCGGGCATCTTGGCCGCATCTTTGGGCTGCAGCTTGCACCACTCCCCGAAAGGCTGCAGAAAAATCGGGAATTTCACCCCGGAGAACCCCCAGAGCTCAGGATTCCCGATTTTCCAGCGGGAATGAGGCCGGGGAAGCGGGAATCGGGAGGTCAGTGATTGGAAGTGGAGAAGAAATTGGGATTGGAAGAAGAATTCCTGCTGGGATCCCAAATTTTCCAGTGGGAATGAGATCAGGGAAGGGGGAATCAGAGGCCAGAGCGATTGGAAGTGAGGAGAAATTGGGATTGGAATTGAATTCCTGGTGGGATTCCCGATTTTCCAGCGGGAATGAGGCCGGGGAAGCGGGAATCGGGAGGTCAGTGATTGAAAGTGGAGAAGAAATTGGGATTCAAGATGAATTCTTGGTGGGATTCCCGTTTTTCCAGTGGGAATGAGATCAGGGAAGGGCGAATCGGAGGCCAGAGCGATTGGAAATGAGGAGAAGTTGGGATTCAGGATGAATTCCTGGTGGGATCCCCGATTTTCCAGGGGGAATGAGGTTGGGGAAGGGGGAATTGGGAGGCTGGGGCGACTGGAAGTGAAGAGAAATTGGGATTGGAATTGAATTCCTGCTGGGAGCGGAGCTCAGAGGTGCCTCCCCCACCCTGCTCGCGGCGTGGAGCCAAGAACTCATCAAATAAATTATACAGAAAATCAAATAAAAGCGGGAAAAGGCCGGAGGAGAAGCTGGAATAACATTATCCAGGGTGGATGGAGCCGCCAGATCCCGGGAAAAAGCCTCTGGATGGGCAGGGAGAGGCTCGGCAGAGCCCTGGGCACGCTGGCACTGCCACCAGATGCCACCAGCTCCCCGCATTCCCAGCCCAAATCCCACCGGGAATTCCACCCCTCCCCCCGTGGTGCTTGGGAGCCCAAACCTCCCCAAATCTGCCCAAAAATCAGGGCAGGGGGGCCGGGCAGCTCTGCCTGGGCTTAATCCCAACAAAATTCCTCATCCAGCCCCCAGCCCTGGCAGGGACAAGTTGGGAATCACGGGAAAACATGGAGCAGCCTCGGCTTTTTGGGAATAAAAGGGATCCAGCAAGGCACAGCCTCATTTTTGGGGGAATAAACTGAGCCAGCACAGCATAACCTAATTTTTTGGGGGAATAAAGGGATCCAGCCTAACACAGCCTCAATTTTTTGGGAATAAATGGACCCAGCAAGGCCCAGCCCCGTGTTTTTTGGGAATAAAGGGATCCACCATAACACAGCCACAATTTTTTGGGAATAAAGGGGATCCAGCAAGGCTCAACCTCATTTTTTTGGGAATAAACTGACCCAGCGAGGCCCAGCCTCATTTTTTTGGGAATAAACTGACCCAGCAGGGCTCAGCCCCAGGTTTTTTGGGAATAAAGGGATCCAACATAACACAGCCTTGTTTTTTTGGGAATAAACTGACCCAGCGAGGCCCAGCCTTGGGTTTTTTGGGAATAAACTGAGCAGGGGGTGCTGCCCTTCCCCTGTGCTCCCGGGGGCTGCAGCAGGGAGCTTTTCCTGCCCCTCGGTGGCAGCTGAGCGATTCCAGACCCCATCCCTGATTCCCATCAGCGCCAGGACCCCTCAGGACGCGTCCCCAAGGCGGGGGAGGGCACAGGGAAAGGTTTGGGGGAGCCAAAGCGCCGATAATTCCCAAATCCCTCCCCTCAGAACCTCCCCGGCAGCTCCAGGCGAGCTGGAGATGAAAACAAAACTCCTGGGAGGTAACTGGACCCTGCCTGCCCCGGGTCAGCATTTTCGGATCCTAAATTAAGGCCCCAGCTGTCCCCTCGCCGTGGCTGCCCCGGATTTTGGCCCCTCTGGCCCCTTTTCCAGGGGCTCCAATCCCAAAAGCTCTGGATTTTCCCAGCCCTGGCACGTCCCACGCCGGGAGCCGCTGCCAAGGCCTGGAAAAGGCAGGAAAAAGAGGAGGAAGCTCGGAGGGGGAGCGGAAAATGGGGAGACAGAAAGTTCTGGGCACGGAGAGAGTCAATGGCAGGGACACGGGGACAGCTCAGGGGGGTCCTCAAAGCCCCGCTCACCCCACGAGGGTTTGGGGTGGGAGAAACCACAGGGATCATCCAGCTCCAAATCCCATCCTGGGGTGGATTTGGGATGCTCAAACCCCCGCTCACCCCACGAGGGACCCCAGGGATCTGTGGGGTCCCTTCCCCTATCCCAGGGTGGATTTGGGATCTGAGCTCAGCCTCAAACCCCACAAAGGTCTGGGGTGGGAGAGACCACAGGGATCATCCAGCTCCAAATCCTTCTCCTGTCCCGGGGTGGATTTGGGATGCTCAAACCCCTGCTCACCCCACGAGGGTTTGGGGTGGGAGGGACCCCAGGGATCTGTGGGGTCCCTTCCCCTGTCCCAGGGTGGATTTGGGATCTGAGCTCAGCCTCAAACCCCACAAAG